CCGCCAAAAGTGACAGTGTAAAGGCTCATAGGTGAGGATTAGCCTGCCCTACACTTTACTCACTGTCAGTCCAGTTGTGCCTTCATATAAGATCCAGACTCAGACTGTGATCATTTCCTGTGATGTAGTTTAAATGTAGCTGAACTACTCTTTGAAACTAGTTTTACTCGTTAGGTATGGAGACAGAGACGGACAGAGCCCCCTGTCTGTACTCTGTGTTCAATTTGTCCATATATACGCTGGTTTTCTGAAAGCTTACGGATACTGATGAAACGGAGCAGTACCACTGGAGATCAGGGGGCAGTGAAGTGTCGTCCCAGTGAGATACATCAGTGGGAGACAGTGACAAAATTTAAATAATGGTGGAACAGGATGAATCTTTAATATAGTGAAAAGTATTCTCTCCCCATGTGTTGGTATGTTTGTAACGGCCTCACAGACCACCACTGTTTACAACACTGAGAAAAATTCACCTCATGTCTGGTCTGAATACACCTTTCTAAGAATTTTATTGATCTTCTCATCTGACTGTCAGCAAGAAAATGAAGAAGCATATTTTGTCTTTTTCTGACCACATCTCAAAACAGGTTAAAAACTCTTAATCCTAGTAGACATTGATTTGACTGAAGAAAACAAGAGAAAAGAAAAGAGGATAAAATAAATTCCACCTTACATGCAAATTATTTTGTCACTGCTTGTGAAAAAAACCCATAACTGGCATGAAGTCAACACACACACACAAAAACACGCAGGACACATTTGCCATGGAAACAGCCTCATGTGCTGAGAGCATGTAGCAGCCTTAATGGGCCTATCACAGTGTGAATATGAATCAAAAGCAGCCAATTGTAGAGCTGAATGAGATTTTTGCATATTGACATGTTGCCACAGAATAACAGGCTGGTGAGACGTGGAGACCAGAGATAAAACTGTCACCTCTGTCACAGCTGCTGTCATAAACAGCACGAACGTAAACCTCAACTGGAAGTGCGAGAATATCATTTAGTTTACATCCTACTGTTGTATAGAAGGAACATCTCTAATAAGAAAATCTCAAGTAGGGCTGCAGCTAATGATTCTTTTCATGAATGATGAACCAAATAACTGTAAAATGTCAGAAAATGTCAAGTCGTTTTGTCTGAATAACAGTCCAAAATATAAAGATGTCCAACACAAAAGAGAAAAAATAAGCAAATTCTGACATTTAGGAAGCTTGAACCACCGAATATGAACTATTTCTGCTTGTTTAATTACCCTGATCGCCTAATCTATAAATTAACAAGTTGTTTCAGCACTATGATAACTTGACTTTCTGATTATCAATAATTCGTTGTAGGTTAAAAATAAATTAGATTCTCTGTAAACAAGACGACTGTAAAACTGATATCCTGTGAATTCTATTCCACATATACATATTTTAACTGGTATGATTTGTTCAACCACATTCGAACCAGCTTCCCTGAACCCTCTAATCTAAAATTTATATTTACATTTATTTATGAGCCAGAGTCTGTCTGTTACCACGGCAGCATTCATAGGGATTTAATAAAAGCAACATGTAATGCTCCAGAACAAGTGTAAATGCATATACATTCAGACTAACGTAGAATAAAAGAAGCATGTAAAGCATAATCCCTTTACTGCACTGGGTCTTCAGTAATTAAACCAGGCAGTTCATACATATAATTCTAACAAGGCAGGCGTAGAGAGCTCTCTTTCTGATATACCGTATGGTCTCAGTATAGTGAGGCAGCCTTTGTAATTAAACTGGGACAGAAGTGGTGTCCATATCAAACTGATTTATCCTATTTTGTTTTTTAATTAATTTTAAAATGGTTTCAGTCTCATTTTTGGTGGTTAAATGTTTCATTCTAAATCTCTGTTGTAAGTGTTAAAGTTTGTCAGATTTAGTGGCACATAGCAATGAAGTTACCAACTGTAACTTCTCCAGTGTGCCAAATGTGTAGGAGAACTATGTAGGCCAGTGTGCAAACCCGAAAGGTGCTATCTAGAACCAATGTTTGGTTTGTCCATTCTGGGCTACTGTAGAAACAACATGGCGACCTCTGTGGAAACGGCCCCTCTCTGGATGCAGATACAAACAGCTCATTCTAATGCGACGAAAACACAACGATTCCTTTTTTCAGGTGAATATAAACTCATGTAAAAATAGTTATGAATATCAGCTTCCATTTCTCACAATATATCACCCAAATCCTACTCACTCAGCATTTAAATGCATCATGTATTTTTCTGTTTTTGACCTCTGGCTACAAAGCAATTTATGTTTGTATCTCCTCTTCACATGGTGCACATGGTCTATGAGTGGTGAGCAGTTCACCAACAGAGTGATTTCCCCTCAATGGCAGCTTCATCTGAATAATTTTTAGAGGCCTGAGGTGTTTCCACTGTGAAAAGTTGTGGATGGTACCAATGGAACCGTTCTGTATCATCCCCATGTTTGTAAACACTGCAGTCTGATTGGTCAATAGAGGACGGTCACTTTGTTGTGGCTGGTTTTGAAGGTTATGTAACTACTGTTCATACTGTGGTAAGTCTATTAGTAGACTGTAACTATGAAATGAAAGGATGTTTTGCTGCCTCTCACAGCAGCTGGAGTCTGAGAAAAAATAACTTCATTCACTGGGCCGACTGCCGGTGACTTTTAAGGTGGAACATTACTTGTAATGTTACTCAATGCATGAGTTGACAAAATGAATCCATCAATACACCTTAAATTTCACTGTGATAACTCTGACCATCACTTTAGTTTTTATATGACAGACACTTTTAGTAATAAATGGATCTGTGTTTAAAAATATATATTAATTTCTACCAGATTATGTGAACTGCATACTTTCTAATCCTTACTTGAAGAAAAAAAAAAGCGTCATGGAGCGGCGTTCCTGTGGGCTACAGCAACACTAAACCCCTGAGCTTGCCTGAGAAGGACTAAATGCACAAGCCTGCTATTTTTAAATATCCCATGGAGAGAGACTCTCACTGCAGCCTGTTCTATTTTGTTCAGAGAACATCGGCGTGCAGCCTCGTTCTGTGGATGATAAACAAGGTGCAGACTGATAAAGGAGGAAATACAGTGAGTGCTAGACGGAGCAGTGAGTGACAACAACCCTGCCCACATTTACGAGGACTGTCTGCAGTGGAAACGCTAAGCAGACTAAAGGTCTAGGTACCATGTAGAAGGGTTACTGTTGGTTCCAAAGGTACTATACCGAAAGTAGGGCCGTAACGGTACATGTATTTGTGTTGAACCGTTCAGTACGCGACTTTCGGTTCGGCACGACCCTGTACCGAATTATTGGGGGCAGGATATTATTTTATTTTATTTTATTTTAATTCCGTTTTTGTGAGCCGAACCATTTAAAATACCTAGTTCCCCGACGGACATAATTGAGTGACGGACCGAGTCCAATCGTAAATCTCTGCCTTCACTTTGTGCAGCGCATTCTCGCATTTTGACAACATGGCAAGTGAGCCTGACGAACCTGAAGACCCACCCGCAAACCTTAAGTCCTCCGTTCGGAACACTTTGGTTTCAGGGTAAGATACGAAGATGTAAATAAACAAGTGGACAAGACAAAAGCAGTGTGCCGACACTGCAGAAAAGCGGTCGGGTATGTACTTGGAAACACGTCTAACATGCTAAGGCATCTAAAGCGACACCACCCGAGTTTGAACGTTAACCGGCACGACTAGAAAAAGCAATCTGGTGCAAACTACGATATCGTCGTCGTTTAAAAAGAAAGAGCGTTTCCCTGACCATCGCGCTAAAGAAATAACCAACGCCATTGGAGTTGAGTAAAATTGTTTAAGCTGCACTTTAGATATAAGCATGTTTTGTTTACTGCACTTTAACAAAGTGGGAAAGCTAAGTAAGTTCCTAGTAAAACTGAATCTGAGCAGGCTTTAAAGCTGACCAGCTGCACTATACTTTTTATTTTAATTGAGTAAAACTGTTAAAGCAGAAATGTATATTTATATTTTTCATTCAAAAAATGTGTTAAAAAAACAGCAGGATTTTATTTTTCACTTTTATATTTCTATTTTCATTCAAACAATGTGAAAAAGCAGGATTTTATATATATTTGTTTCATTCAAAAATTGGGTAAAAAGAGTTAACTGCTGTGGTGGTATGTTTTAATAAGGTTACCAATAAGTAAAAGATATTTAATAGTTGTCTATTTTTTTCATTACTGTACCGAAAAAAAAACCGAACCGTGACTTGTGTACCGAGTTTCGTACCGAACCGTGATTTTTGCGTACCGTTACACCCCTAACCGAAAGTGTTTGGTGGAAACGGGGCTAAAATCATAAAAATAAACATAATTTTAAGCACTTAAATGTAACTTTTTCTTACTCCCTAACCCTTAATTAACTCCTGACACCGTAGATTTATCTTGTGACAACTGGGGGGTCTTGGCCCAAAAGCTGGGAACCACTTATGTACAGTAAAGCACATGGAATTGTCTTTGTGTTTGAAAAACTTGGCTGAATCACAGCTGATAAAACAGTAACATATTAAAGTATGAGTTTGATGAAATGGTTGAGTCTCTTAGTGTCTCTGTTTATAAAAGTTTGACAGATGCAAAGAAGCATACTACATTTGTTCTGCTCATTCTTATATGAATATATTGAAAATTCACATCAGGCTCCACTTCAGATGAATCAGAACAAGACCCTTGTACGTCTGGCAGCATTACCTTGAGGTAATATGATTCATTGTGTGTCATTTTAATTGTGTAACATGTAATTCACTTCAAATCAAAAGCAATTCTGTAGAAACCATTCTCACTGTGATGTGCTGCACATGAAACCATGTTTTATGGATTTGCATCTCTCCTCCCATTAGACCAATATATGGAACCTCTTTGGAAATCTGCACTAAAATGGTATTACACCTGTGTCTAATGAGCCGCCCTCTGTTTGCCACCCTGTGTTTGTAATAAAGGAGGCTGTTAAAGGAATGGAGTGTGCCATACGTTATAGAGGGGGATGCTCTTCATGGGTTTGTACTGCTTCAGGGGGTCCATCTTGTACAGGTGGCGGTCAGTGATGAGCACAGCCCGGTCCTCTGCCTTGTGGAAACGGTTGATCTGGGAAACACAAAGCTCCTCATTAGTCACCCCACAGGATAAGAGAGCACACACACTCACAAGTCCAAACACCCTGCAGGGTGATGGCACAAACCACGAGCAGTTGGGTGTATTTGTTTTTACAGACAGTTGCATGTTGTGACTGTGTGTGCATGTGGTCAGGAGAGGATAAATGCTCCAAAAGCCTCCTTCCTACCTTGCGCACGTTGCAGGAAAACAAAACTCTCATGAATTTGTCTTTGCGCTGCAGCTCGCTGGACACCAGTGTGAATGATGAAGCCGTATCGGGGCTGTCTCGCTTCTGTTGGACATAAAACCCCCCACAAAAAACCTGTTAAAACACTCTTTGTGTTTTTGGCTTTGTTTACAGGAATTCAGAGACAGTGCTGGCATTCATCAAGTGAGCTCTCATCTTACACACACTTTCATTAGGATCAGAAAAACTCACGTCTGTACAATAGTTGTATGAAGCTGCAGTGAACAGCTGGTTAGTACAAAGACTGTATGAATACGCTTTTGCGTCTGGAACCTCCCCACTACAATGGCTTTACTACTGCACCCCTACCCACACTGCCATCCCACCTACTCACCAGGTAGTTTCCTTCCCAGGCCCTCTGTAGCCCCAGGTCGGCCCTATGGCCCTTCAGGGCCTCCAGGCTGGCTACCTTGGCCCTCACCTGCAGGGCTTCTTCTGGAGAGAGGCCTTTGATCAGTGTCCATGCCCACCACCTAGAGGTAAACACATCCAAACACACATACGCACACACACACACACACACACACACACACACACACAAAGAGAAAACTAAGAGCAAAGGAAAATATCTCCATTGAGATTACAGCTCAAAGCCTTGAGAGCTGGGTCAGCGGCGGACCCCAGCTGTACTGTACTTATTGGCCCTTCACTCACACATCCTGACAGCCAACATCATTCTCCAGGAAGGCTATTTTCTTACTGTGCCCAGCTTCAAATAAAAAAAAGCAAACAAACAGACACTGGGATGAAAGGCAGTGATGAGTCTTTGATGGAGGGAGAAAAATCAATGCCCAGTGTGAGCCCAAGGCAGAAGGAAACATGTGTAAGTTGCTTCAAACGGACTCATCTGGATGTAAAATAACACTCGAGGCCATGTGTTCTCTGCTGACTGTCGGGGTCGGATCCACTCTCAGTTCAGCCAATTCAGGAAAGTGATTTTCTTCAAAAGAAAGCAATTTAAAAACATTTAATCTTAAAAAGCTTCATCCTCTGCCTTTGTTAGGACGTGATGAGAATGGATGGTACATTTTTAAACATTTAAATACAGTTCCACTTCATTTTTGAACAGTGTGAAATAAAAGACAATTGACCCTAAACCTATTCTGTGAAAGGACCCACTCATCACAAACACAGCAGCTTTTTGTTCGTGTTTGAAAAGCTGGAATGTTAATGTGAATCTGGCAGCTGATACGCAGCAGTCACATTTAAAGGACCAGTGTGTAAAATGGGTTGAAAACAGTGACATCAGTGGTCAAATTCTAGATTGCAGGGCTCACTCGCTCACCCCTCCCGTCGGGTAAATGACGGTGGCCTCGTAGGGACAAAAAGCCTTGCGCAGACATGAGTTTTTCAGGAGTAGGTCTATCTAGCGACGAGGTGAATGTTTATTTAGAAATCTAAACCATGTTACGATATTGTAATTAATCCCTCACGAGCAGGAGACCAGAGTAGCGTTCGGGAAAAAGGCCCGTTTATTTGAGCACTCCAAAAACTCAGTCGGTAACACTCCAGGGGGTAAAAGACTCCGTCCCAAACTCTGACTCTTCTGGCGTAACACACACACTTAATACACACATACTCATTTACAATACCAAGCGGGTACCCCCTTCCCTCTCTGCTCCATCAATCTCCAGTCCGCACACTGACTGACAGCGTAGCCTGTAAACAGAGCTCAGCTGTTTATTTAGCCTAGCAATATCTCTGGACTATAGTAGCTGCAATGGACGACTTTGAACGCGATTTTGAAGAGTTTCTTGTAGCGGACACAGACCCAGAGCCATACCTGTTTGAGCCGGAGCATACAGATGAGGAACTTGGATACTGAGCGGGCGAGAAGAGAGGCTGAATCCTCCGCTCCCATTTTGCTGCACAGAATGGGATTCGGTGCTACTGCTACCATCGTTGGGGAGATATATCATCAGGAGGAAAAGCGCCGCAGAGAGTGCATCACAAGGAGTGAAGTTGCGTCTTCTTTTCCTCGCAGATGACGTTCGGGTTCATTCTCTCCTGTTGCGTGGTAAGTGTGGTCCATTCGCAAACTTTATAACTAAAAAAAACTTCCACTACTCTCTATCGACGAACTACTAACACTCTCTGCTGTTTCCTCCTCCTTCTTCCTTCCTTCCGCTGTCTTCGTTGGTTCATTTATACACGCGAAACGCGCTCTCTGGCTGGCTGGATTGTCCGCTCGGTCTGCCGTACATACGTGGCGGCGCAAGATGGTGACCTCTCTAAAGCAAGGCCCTTGCTATATATATATAAAAGCATAATTATAAGGCTACGAAAACCAAACAAATTTTATTTTATAGCGATTATACACTTGTATAAACATATTCATGGCTAGAATATTCAGATTCAGATTCAGATTTGACAATAAACCATGCCAAATATTACACACTGGCCCTTAAAAGATAAAGCAATGTTATTTAGAAAATGCTATTTAGAAAACAGTACCTGTTATAGATGCTCCTGAGTGCCTCCTCAAACTTGCGCAGGACTTTGGGAGGCGTGGGCCACTTCACATGGCGGCCGTAATCCTTCATGGACTGGACATTTTTGAAGCGCCGGTTCACCTCTCGGATGTAAGACTTCACCTTGTAGCGTCGGTAGGCCCGCAGGATGACAAGGGCCGCTCTCATCCGCCGGTATCGCATTCTGGCAATGGTGCCTCTCCACACCTGGAGACACAGGGTGACACAAAGAAAATGTATGAAGCCTTTGTAGATAACTGTTCACATGCTTGGAACACAACTTCTGCACAGCTCCTTAAAGGAGGACAAAGGTATGTACTGCATTATGAAGTTGGGGACTCACAAGAGTCATTTCAAAATTTAGTTTCTGTCCCAAAATGATCATTATAAACCTGAGTTACTTGAACAGCACATGATTATTGTACTATTACAGGATTTGCTGTTATGGGTTGGGCATGGATCTTCGGTCGATGGCTCAGGATGTGGAGCTAACTGGTCATATGTGTGGGTGGTGGGGTGGATGCGGTATAGCACCTCACAGTTCTGGTTAAGGAGTGATCTTGAAAATCAGACCTGTGCAGGAGGTGCAGGAGTTTTAGGTCCAGACGACAAAACTATTTCATTCTTGGACGATGACCGATGGGTTCCACAATAGCATTTCGGCCAACGCATTCTACCTCTTTGGCTCTCCACACCTGCATGCAACCAAAGCTTACCCAAATGTGATTGGCCAAGACTAGTCAGGCTACAAAACAGAAACCAGAACGCTTCAAATACCAAAATAGTTTACCCATGCATTCACCTAAGAGCACATTTTCATTAGACCCTGCCTAGTAAACACCCATGTCTTTCAAGGTCCAAGGACAATTTGACATGTGTGTGCGGACATAAGGAGCTGGATCGGACCGCCAACCCCGCGATGAGTGGACGACCTGCTCTACCTGCTGAGCCACAGCCGGTCCGCCCAGGGACAGTCAGAAGCGGTCCACATTAGCTGTAAACCCAACTAGACCCAAACAGAAAAGCACAAACTGTACGGGTTTCAGCTTTGCCTTTTCGTAGCGTCTCATGTTTGTTTTCAGTCTGTCTCTGTGTGTTTGCTGAGTGTGGCCTTCTGGTTCCCTCGTCCTGCCAATCCTCCTGAGTGTCAGCAGCTGCTGAACCTGCACACCTGAACCTCATCAACAATCAAGCCACTGCAGTATAAAACCCCGGCTCAGACACTCTTCTGTGGTACAGACATCAAGGCCAACTAGTTTTCTGACACTCTGTCTTTTGTACTTTTGGAATTCACACTCTGTTCTGTGTCTCAGATTCACCACGCCACCCTCAACCATAACCCGCCACCTCCAGCCATGTTCTCGTCTTCTGCCTCCAGATTCAGACTGCTCTGCCTTCAGCTCATCTGCCCGCTCTGCTTCTCAGCCATCATTCCATTCAAGCCTTCAGCTCCACTTCTCGTTTCCTGGTTGTGTTTGCATTTGGGTCCAAAGTTGAACTGCCACAACACAAACACTGGCAGCAGCATGATAAGCGGCAGTGAAGAGCAGCAACACTTCATACTCATGGTACACACTGCTTTTCTTCTTGCTATGAAAAACACATTTTAATCTTATGATGATGAGAATACAACGTGTGCTTGCAACAAGTCCAGGTATCAGACGCACTGACACAATGACCTGTGATGCACAAACATACAAAGAGACCCTGATGTACCTGCAACCAGGTAGACAGTTGGACCAAGTTCCACCTTTAGCACTGGTGGAAAGGATGAGTGGACAATAAGACCTGCAGTATCTGGATTTTATTTATTTATGTGGCTGCTGGGCTATTTTAAGCTTTTATGCACCAGTGGTAAAAACAAAAGTATGACCTCTGCACTAAAATCTAACTCAGGAGGACTGAAAGTAATGTAGCTATAAATACACCTGCATGTTGCTGTAAAAGCTAATATACAAGTGTGTGTTTTAATCTGCCATTTTCTTAATTTACAATTACACAATTACTTACTTGTCATAAGAATTCCTTGTTACATATTTATTTACATCAAGTTTATTAGTTATGTTTGAGTAACATGGATTCAGACTCAAATAAGGACCCCCAAGTCTGCCTGTAACCAAACATAGGTCGAGTGGCTATCAGACCCTCTATACCATGAATAATAGATGTAAGTGGGACCCCAGGGAGCCGTAACTCCTGCTCCGCCCTCATTGAAATCACCACCATATGCTCCCCTTTTACTGTATACTCTCTCTCTCTCTCTCTCTCTCTCTCTCTCACTCTCTCTCTCTCTCACACACACACACACACACACAGCTACTCAATTATTTATACATTTATACGTCCACATTGAATCTAAATAATCCTAAATAATCAGCGATAGAGTGTGTTTAGTGTCACAGTTTAAAGGCTATATTCCTGAATATCACTGAAGAGCAATGCAAAGTAATGACGGAGATCATGAATATTTAATCTTTCAAAGTGTGGGGGAAGGCACAGAAAAGGATTTCTCACATTTGCATATTAAAAATGTGGAGGAGGCAGTTTTCACCTGATGAGTCTGGCTGTGTGATAATTCGCAGGGGGGAAGATAAGTCATGCACATAGACTGTGTAAAAGAGGTGGATGTAGCCTCTATGATGTCACCCATTGGTATGTGGACTACAGTTTGAAGCCTTAAGTTTGGCATTTTGGCTGTTGTTATCGTGTTGTTTTTTTTTTTTTTTTTGGAGCCAGACGTGACCGTGTTTGGACAAGAGGGGAGGAGAAAGGGAAGGATGTGACCAAGAAGCCAAACTGGTCTCTGTAGTGGCGACTTGTCAATCATAAAAAAGCCACGCCTCTAACCAGCCGTAGAGTAGGCTCTAGAGCCACATGCTGCTCATTAGCCCCTCTCCAGTGGCTCCCTGTGGCTTTGACAAAAAATGACAATATGAAAATGAATAACAGCTATTTATTTCAATATTTTACTTTTCATTTATCATTGATGTAGGCCTATAGAGATTCTTGCATTCTCCAGCTGTAAAAAATGTGTCCCTAAAAAAACTTAACATTCGGCCAACTAAAATGCGCACCTTTTCCTCTAAATTTTGCCAAACCTCAGTAGTAGTGCACAATGTGATTTTGCCAGTAGGACATGCTCCTGGATCAACATCCCCCATCGCATTCCAGGACCGACATTGCAATCAACCAATCAAAGAACTCTGACATCATCAGTGTGCTAACAAGGTTGGCTATGCTAATGAGTAAACTTGCCAATAGACCGTAATATTGTTGAGCTAGCCTGCTAAGTAGGTAGGCTATGCTAACAAGTAAGCTGTTCATTACAAAGAGTAAGGATACTACCATTTTTCAGTTGCAAATTCCTGCAATTAACTCATTTACAAGGTTTTTGTTCAGTTCTACTAACTTCAATTTGGAAACTAGCTGTAGCTCAGAAGAAGCACAAAGCAATCTTGAAAGAAGCACAGGAGCAGCACACTGATGATGTCAGAGGGCTGTAATTGGTTGATCGCAATGTTTGTCCTGGAATGCGATGTGGGATGTTGATTCAGGAGCATGTCCTACTCGGCAAAATCACATTGTGCCAATAGTGCTAACTAGTCTTGAGTCTCCTTAGCTAGGCTAGCTATGGACTCCAAATGCGAAAAAGGAGAAGTCTCAGAGAAAAATTGAGAATTTTTAGTAGTGGATGGACAGATTTGTCAGATAGTCATGAATAACCCACCTTCTGGTAAAACATAATAATGAATGCTCATTTAGACATATTATCAATGCTGAAAGTCTAATTTAGACTCAGTAGGCTGTTACCTTTATCATAAGACTCAAACATGTTTTGCGGCTCTAGACAGATTTTTAAAATCATTTTCAGTCAAAAATGGCTCTGATGATAGTAAAGGTTGCCGAATCCAGCCCCAAAGCAAACCTTGCTTCATCGTCTATTTCACTCTAAAGGGACCATAATTTCCAAAATGACCATCATATTGTATTGAGGAAGACTTGAAACTAGCGATAGAGACTATAAACTCATTAGGGAAATATTTACTGAGGTGAGAAGTAGAGTCATTTTCTTACAGACTCATATACAATCAGACTTCTTTTTGAAACCAGTGGAGTCCCCCCTGCTGGCCATTACAAATACTGCAGGTTTAAAACTCTGCATTGATGCTCTTTACAGCCATTGCTTAATGGCTTATGTCCAAATAAGAAACTTCTTTTATACAGTCTACAGTTATGCACTACTGGAGTATGGAAGCAGCAGATTAATTCATGTGATTTCACAATTTTAACTTTTCATCATATCAGCTGCAAATGGGTGTTTAAGTACTTTGACATGATTTTATAAGGTTAAATGACACTTTAATTAAAGGAGCACAACATGGAGCCACCTCCACTGGAGAGCCAGAATCTACTCCGGAGTACTGATTTGTCCGCAGCAGGGGTCTTAGACATTTTCCAGGCCAAGGACCCCTTAGCTGAGAAAAAGACGGTTTTATGGTACACACAAAACTAGACTATTAAAATAATAATTATTTACAGATTCATATATTTACATATAATGTTGTAATACTAAACATACATTTGGAATGTACAGTGATTTAGCGCAGGTTAGCTAGTTCACATGATTGCAGGAGGAGTCATGGGTAACAGCCTATCATCAGTGTTGTGTACTGTAAATTAAATGGATTGCTTTTCTAAGAATAGGCCAGTTTATCTTTGCTAATGATAATATGGACTTATGTTAATGTTTATTTTCAGCTATATTTAAATTTTTTTGAAGACTAATGGTGCACAGCCTCAGCCTAATTCCTAACTGTACAGAGGGTTGGCCTCCTAAAGAAGCTAAATCACACTGAGATCAGTGAAAGAAGGCCAGTCAGCCATCTCATCACCAAGCACAACCAGCCTCATACTGTCCTCAGAAAAAGAAGGTTTAATTTGGACTTTTTAAGCCGTAAAAGTTTATGAAATGTCGTGTTATGTCCAGTAATCTGAGATCAGCCCTATCAGGCCAAAAAGTTGAGAAATCTGTCCCCAGGATGTCAAGTGATACCGTCTAAAGCTTACTGGCCTGGTTTCTGCGCACACAATCTCTGATTCTTCAAAGGTTTTCTGATCATTATTACAAGTGTAACTCTCCTCCCGTATCATTTGAACTTTTGCCCCCTCTCCTTTATCCAAGTCTTTGTAAAGTAAAGCTGGTCTTG